AAAGACCACGCTTTCTGGGCTGACGCCGGGCAGGGGCTGTGTTACCTTCTCCGCGATGCTGTACAGCACCTCGTCCATCTTCATACACGTGGGGTCCCAGTCGTGTCCGAAGCGGATGACTACCACGCGGTCCTCCTCCGAAAGGATGGCCTGATCCACCTGCCAGCCGTTGTGCAGGTGTGGGAGCATGTACGACATCTCGGGGCGGCTCCGGGTACACCTGCGACAGCTGTGCGCGCCGGCTACCTCTGGCCGACTGCGGGGCGAGGCTGCACGTCACACCCGCCCGCGCCCCCCCGACCCCACAATCCCAGTAAGCCCTACCCCTGGCAGAGGGACGGGGCCGAGGGGACGCCCTGCAGACCCAGTCCCCGGTGCCGAGACCCGGCGGTCGCCCCCATCCGTGCCCCTGGCTCCCACTGCGGGGAGGGCCTGGGACCACTGCCGACCTTGCCCCCGCCCCCGCCCCCGCCCCCGGACGCCCAGGCCACTGTCAAGCTCTACCCCTGGAAGGAGAGCGGGGCTACGAGGACGCCCCGCAGACGCCAGCCCTCCCTCCCGCCCTCGCCCCTGCTCCCCGCTGCGTCCGCCCGCACCTCAGCCGACCGGAGCCTCCCGCGCGGCAGCCCTTCCCGGCGGCGACGCGAGCCGGCCGGTGCGTGCGCGCCCACGTGGGCGTGCGCGTGTCCGCCGACGTGCGCGTGTCTGTCCGCCGACGTGCGCGTGTCTGTCCGCCGACGTGCGCGTGTCTGTCCGCCGACGTGCGCGTGTCCGCCGACGTGCGCGTGTCCGCCGACGTGCGCGTGTCTGTCCGCCGACGTGCGCGTGTCTGTCCGCCGACGTGCGCGTGTCTGTCCGCCGACGTGCGCGTGTCCGCCGACGAGGGGCCGCGCGCCCGGCGCCGGGAGGGCGGGACACCGAGCCGGGGCTCCCGCGTGCGCCCAGGCGGAGCGGCTGGTGGCCCCCGGACCCCGCGGGGTCGGTTTCCTGAGGTGTCGCCGCGGTCACGGGGGGCCCGGCTTTGCCGCCTGATTCTCAGCCCCAGTCAGGCCCCTCGGAGCGACCCAGCTTCACCGCGGCGCCACCGTGACCTGGGGGTGTAAAGAGGGCAGCTGGCCGAGCGGAGCTACGATGTGGGGTTCGGGTCCCGACAGAGAGCACCCCTGGGACCTGGGGGAGGGGGCGGGACGGAGAGCACCCCTGGGACCTGGGGGAGGGGGCGGGACGGAGAGCACCCCTGGGACCTGGGGGAGGGGGCGGGACGGAGAAGACCCCTGGGACCTGGGGGAGGGGGCGGGACGGAGAAGACCCCTGGGACCTGGGGGAGGGGGCGGGACGGAGAGCACCCCTGGGACCTGGGGGAGGGGGCGGGACGGAGAAGACCCCTGGGACCTGGGGGAGGGGGCGGGACGGAGAAGACCCCTGGGACCTGGGGGAGGGGGCGGGACGGAGAAGACCCCTGGGACCTGGGGGAGGGGGCGGGACGGAGAAGACCCCTGGGACCTGGGGGAGGGGGCGGGACGGAGAGCACCCCTGGGACCTGGGGGAGGGGGCGGGACGGAGAGCACCCCTGGGACCTGGGGGAGGGGGCGGGACGGAGAAGACCCCTGGGACCTGGGGGAGGGGGGCGGGACGGAGAGCACCCCTGGGACCTGGGGGAGGGGGCGGGACGGAGAAGACCCGTGGGACCTGGGGGAGGGGGCGGGACGGAGAAGACCCCTGGGACCTGGGGGAGGGGGCGGGACGGAGAGCACCCCTGGGACCTGGGGGAGGGGGCGGGACGGAGAGCACCCCTGGGACCTGGGGGAGGGGGCGGGACAGAGAAGACCCCTGGGACCTGGGGGAGGGGGCGGGACGGAGAAGACCCCTGGGACCTGGGGGAGGGGGCGGGACGGAGAGCACCCCTGGGACCTGGGGGAGGGGGCGGGACGGAGAGCACCCCTGGGACCTGGGGGAGGGGGCGGGACGGAGAGCACCCCTGGGACCTGGGGGAGGGGGCGGGACGGAGAGCACCCCTGGGACCTGGGGGAGGGGGGCGGGACGGAGAGCACCCCTGGGACCTGGGGGAGGGGGCGGGACGGAGAAGACCCGTGGGACCTGGGGGAGGGGGCGGGACGGAGAAGACCCCTGGGACCTGGGGGAGGGGGCGGGACGGAGAGCACCCCTGGGACCTGGGGGAGGGGGCGGGACGGAGAAGACCCCTGGGACCTGGGGGAGGGGGCGGGACGGAGAAGACCCCTGGGACCTGGGGGAGGGGGCGGGACGGAGAGCACCCCTGGGACCTGGGGGAGGGGGCGGGACGGAGAGCACCCCTGGGACCTGGGGGAGGGGCGGGACGGAGAGCACCCCTGGGACCTGGGGGAGGGGGCGGGACGGAGAGCACCCCTGGGACCTGGGGGAGGGGGCGGGACGGAGAGCACCCCTGGGACCTGGGGGAGGGGGCGGGACGGAGAAGACCCCTGGGACCTGGGGGAGGGGGCGGGACGGAGAGCACCCCTGGGACCTGGGGGAGGGGGCGGGACGGAGAGCACCCCTGGGACCTGGGGGAGGGGGCGGGACAGAGAAGACCCCTGGGACCTGGGGGAGGGGGACGGGACACAGGACCAGGGACCATGACCGTGCTGGAGAAGGCCTGTCCTGTTCACCCCACACCCAGCCCCAAGGTAATCAGGGCAGTCGTGCTTTCCAGACTAGGTTCAGCTGGCTTGTCAAATCACTCTGTCAACAGTAGACAAGCTAAGGTGTAAGTTACTGTATAAAACAGGTGAAGGGGGATCCCTGGGTGGCGCAGCGGTTTGGCCCCTGCCTTTGGCCCAGGGCGCGATCCTGCAGACCCGGGATCGAATCCCACGTCGGGCTCCCGGTGCATGGAGCCTGCTTCTCCCTCTGCCTGTGTCTCTGCCTCTCTCTCTGTGTGACTATCATAAATAAATAAAAAATTAAAAAAAATTAAAAAAAACCAAACACGTATAGTCCTTGTTCACCCATCACCCCATCCACCTCCAGACGGATCCTTTTTTTTAAGAAGCTGAGTGGAGGATCACCTACGTCCTGTGAGATCCTCTCACTGCAGTGAAGGTGGGTTGTAGAAGCGCCACTATGGTCTCCATTTGGGTAGTTTCCATCCTGCTGGAAGAAGTCCTGTACGCAGTCGGCTTCTGTCATTCCCACTTCCCTGTCGTCCCTGACCCCTGGCAACCACTGACCTCCTGCCTGCCTCCCTGCACTTGCCTATTCCAGGCAGTTTGTATAAGTGGAAGCAAACCATGATGTCTCCTGTGACTGCCTTCTCAAGGGCCACGCTGTAGCAGGCGTCAGGATTTAGTCCTCGTTGCTGGTTACTATTTCATCATACGCATATGTGCATTTTATTTATTTTTATTTTTATTTTTTTTAAATTTATTTTTTATTGGTGTTCAATTTGTCAACATATAGAATAACACCCCATGCTCATCCCGTCAAGTGCCCCCCTCAGTGCCCGTCACCCAGTACGTGCATTTTATTTATCCATCATCTGACATTTGGCTGTTTCCACTTTCTGGCCGTTATGCATAATGCTGCTGTGAACATCTGAATTTGTTTTTGTATGGACTTAAGTTTTCGCTTCCCTAAGGGTATATGAGTGGAAAGCCGGGGTCATACGTTAACTGTGTTTAACATTTTATGGAATACAAACTGTTTTCAAAAATGGCTGCAGCTTGGGATCCCTGGGTGGTGCAGCGGTTTGGCGCCTGCCTTTGGCCCAGGGCGCGATCCTGGAGACCCGGGATCGAATCCCACATCGGGCTCCCGGTGCGTGGAGCCTGCTTCTCCCTCTGCCTGTGTCTCTGCCTCTCTCTCTCTCTCTCTCTCTTCTCTCTCTCTCTCTCTGTATGACTATCATAAATAAATAATAAAAAAAAATTTTAAAAAATGGCTGCAGCTTTATTTTATTTTATTTAAGAGAGCACATGTATGCCCCCAAGTCGTATGGGGAGCGGCAGAGGGATGGGGGCGGGGGAGGCGGGGCAGGGGAAGCAGGCTTCCCACTGAGCAGGTACTGCGGGGACTCCATCCCCAGGACCCAGAGACCACGACCTGAGCCTTAGCCGAAAGGCGGAAGGCAGACGTTAACCTACTGAGCCACCCAGATGCCTCGTGGCTGCACCTTCTAACATTCCCAACAGCAAAGTGTGAGAGGTTTGATCCCTCCACATCTTTGCCTACACTTGTTATTTGTGTATTTTTTATTACAGCCTTGTGGTAGATGTGCACTGATACTGTGATTTTGACTTGCATTTCCGTGATGGTTAACAATATACAGAGCATCCTCTCATATACTTATCCTCCACTTGGAGAAATATCTGTACATATCCTTTGCCCATTTTAAAAAAATTATTATTGAGTTTTAAGAGTTTCATTAGATATATGATTTTAAAATATTTCTTCCCATTCTGTTGACCACACTTCTTATTGGCATCATTTGCAGCCCAAAAGTTTTAAATATTCAATATGTCCAGTTCATCATTTCCTTTTGTTGCTGTGTTGTTGTATGTTTCGGTGTCATATCTAAGAAACCATTACCTCATTCAATGTTGTGAATATTTACTCCTGCTTTCTTCTAAGAATTTTTAACTTTTTTTTTAAACAACTTTTTTTTTTTTTTTTCCTAAGTAAGCTTTAGGCCCAGTGTGGGACTTGAACTCATGAGTTGCATGCTCTACAGACTGAGCCAGCCAGGCACCTCCATTAACTTTCACATTTGGGTCTTTGATCACTGTGAGTGAACTTCTGTGTATGTGGGTGCTAGGTGTCCACCTTCATTCTTTGTATATTTAGACATCCACTTGTTCTGACACCGTTTATTGGGAATATTATTCTTTCCCTATCAGAGTGTCCTGGCACCCTTGATGGAAATAAGTTGATTTTGTTTTTTGTTTGGTTGGTTGGTTTGGTTTGTTTCCGTTGTTTGTTTGTTTGTTTGTTTTAAATCAGTTGATTTTGTTTTTTTTTTAATTTTTTTTAATTTTTATTTATTTATGATAGTCACAGAGAGAGAGAGAGGCAGAGACACAGGCAGAGGGAGAAGCAGGCTCCATGCACCGGGAGCCCGACATGGGATTCGATCCCGGGTCTCCAGGATCGCGCCCTGGGCCAAAGGCAGGCACCAAACCGCTGCGCCACCCAGGGATCCCCTAAATCAGTTGATTTTGAATGTAAGGATTTATTTCTGGATTCTCAGTTCTATCCCACTGACATGTATGTCTAGCCTAATGTCAGTACCACGCTTTCTTGATGCAGCTTTGTGTAGGTCTTGAAATTAGGAAGTATGAGCCCTCCACCTTTATTCCTTTTCATGATTGGTTTGGCTATTCTGGGTCCCTTGTATTTGCATATGAACTTTAGGATTAGCTTGTCAATTTCTGCAAAAAAGGCAGCTGGGATTTTGACAGGGACTGTGTTGACTCTTCACCAATTTAGGGAGTACTGTGCTGCCATCTTAATGTTGAGTCGTCAGTGGGTGAAGGATGTCTTTCCATTTGCTTAGGTCTTTATTTCTATAACTTTTATATTTTCCAGTGTTCACGTCTTGTGCTTTTTTTAGGGAGGGAAGTTAAATTAACTCCTCAGTATTTTATTCTTTTTTGATGATATTTAAATGGAATTGTTGAGGTGCCTGGATGGCTCAGTAGATTAAGCCTCTGACTCTTGGTTTTGGCTCAGGTCATGATCTCAGGATCCTCGGATGGAGCCCCACCTTGGGCTTTGTGCTCAGCAGGGAATGTGCTTGAGGATTCTCTCCTCCTCCTCTGTTCCTCTTCTGTCTCTCTAAAATAAATAAATAAATCTTAAACATAAATAAATGGAATTGTTGTTTTAAATATTTTTAGATTATTAATAACTAGTGTATAGAAATACGGTTGATCTTTGGATACTGATCTTGCATTCTGCAATCTTGCTGAATCATTCATTATTTGGAATAGTTTTTTAGTTGGATACTTAGGATTTTCTATATACAAGATCATGTCATCTGCAAATAGGGACAGTTTTACTACTTTTATAGTCTGGATGCTTTTCATTGTGTTTTTGCCTACCTGCCCTGTTGAATAGAAGTGGCAAGAGAGACTTGTTCCTCATCTTAGAGGGAAAGCATTCAGATTTTATTTATTTATTTATTTATTTTAATAATAAATTAATTTTTTATTGGTGTTCAATTTGCCAACATACAGAATAACACCCAGTGCTCATCCCGTCAAGTGCCCCCCTCAATGCCCGTCACCCATTCACCCCCAACCCCCGCCCTCCTCCCCTTCCACCACCCCTAGTTCGTTTCCCAGAGTTAGGTGTCTTCATGTTCTGTTGCCCTTTCTGATATTTCCTACCCATTTCTTCTCCCTTCCCTTATATTCCCTTTCACTATTATTCATATTCCCCAAATGAATGAGACCATATAATGTTTGTCCTTCTCCGATTGACTTACTTCACTCAGCATAATACCCTCCAGTTCCATCCATGTTGAAGCAAATGGGGGGTATTTGTCAGGGAGCAGGTGTCCCTGTGTGTCCTTATGAAAGGATACAGGTATCCAGTGTTCCTTCCTTCAGAGCACTGGCTTGAGTTAGGTTGAGGAAGAGAGCAATTTGACTGAACTAATGAAAAATCAATGGAGACTTTTAAAAAAAGAAAGGTAAGAAAGAAAAATGACTGGAGAGCCATATAGCGCCTCCAGAGGAATTTGCATTTTTAAAATTATTTTTTAGCGGGGGAGGGGCAGAGGGAGAGAGAGAACCTTAAGCAGGCTCCTCATCTAGTGCAGAACCTGATGTGGGGCTCGATCCCATAGCCAGAGGTCATGACAAGAGCCAAAATCAAGAATCCGACCCTTAAGAATCCTCCAGTTACCTCCGGAATTTGCATTTTTATTTATTTTTTATATTTTTAAAGATTTCGTTTATTTATTCATGAGAGAGAGACAGAGAGAGAGAGGCAGAGACACAGGCAGAGGGAGAAGCAGGCTCCATGCAGGGAGCCTGATGTGGGACTTGATCCCCGATCTCCAGGATCAGGCCGTGGCCCACAAGTGGCGCTAAACCACCGAGCCACCCGGGCTGCCCTGGAATTTGCATTTTTAAAAGAAAAAAATTATTTGAGTCAGATGTAAGACAATGTTAAAGTGAGACTTTGCTTTCAAATTCCAGCAGAGGCCCCATATTGAAAATAAATGATTTGAAATGCTTACATGTGGGGCCCTGGGTGTCTCAATCAATTAAGTGACCAACTCTTGATCCACAGGTGAACAGAGAGGAGTCTCATGTGCTAATAAGCTTAGAACAAAGCAGGTCATGAAGGGTACATAAGGGTTGATTCCATGAACATAAGTGCAGAAATATGCCAAACCAAACCACATATTGTTTAGGCTAATTTTGCCTCTTTTATCTCTTGGTATACTTCATTTTATTGCACTTTACAGATCCTGCATATTTTAGAAGTTGAAGGTTTGTGGCAACTCTACCAGCACCATTTTTCCAACAGCATTTACTCACTTCTTATCTCTCATATTTTGGTAATTCTCGCAATATTCCAAACTTTTTTCATTATTATTATAATTATAATTATATAATTATTATAAAAACTTATTTGTTGTGATGATATGTGACTAGTGATCTTTGATGTTACTCGTGTCGTTGTTTGGGGCACTGCGATTTGTGCTCCTCCTATAAGCAGTAACCTGGGGTTAACCAGACCGATGTCCACTGTGGGCTACTGAGCACAGCTGCACCCTTTCCCCAGACTTTTCATTTCCTGTGGCTCTCCTCTTTGGGGAGGTGGATGTGAGGGTTTCCCTCCTGCCCCTAGTGTGGCTGCCTCTCAAAGTCTTCCCTTGCTGCGTACTTGATGTCTCAGTGACTGTGTTTGCTGAGCATCAGGCTGATCACCTTGGGTTTAGTTCTGATAGAAGATGGTGGACTTAACTGATAAATGTGTTGTTTTCTGATTGCTTTGCCTACTGGCCATTCTCCCCCACCCCCTTGGGCCTCCCTGGTCCCTGAGAACCACCATATTGAGATTAGGCCAGTTAATAACCCACAATGGCCTCTAAGCATTCAGCTGAAAGGAAGAGTCACAACTCTCACTTTAAATCAAAAGTTAGACAGGGGGGCGCCGGGGGGGGGGCTCTGTCAGTGCAGCATCTGCCTTCAGCTCAGGTCATGATCCTGGGGTCCTGGGATCAGGTCCTGGGATCGAGTCCCACGTCAGGCTCCCTGCTCAGTGGGGAGTCTGCTTCTCCTCCCTCTGCTGCTACTTGTGCTCTTTCTCTCTCTGTCAAATAAATACCTAAAATCTTTTTAAAAAATTAATTTAAATAACAGACATGATTGAGCTTAGTAGGGAAGGCATGTTGGAAGCTGAGCTACGCTGAAAGCTAGGCCTCTTGTGTCAAACAGCCTAGTAGTGAAAGCAAAGGAAAGTTCTTGAAGGAAATTAAAAAGATCTATTCCAGTGAACACACAAATAATAAGAAAGCAAAACAGCCTTGTTGCTGATGTGGAGAAAGTTTGGTCTGGATAGAAAATGATGTTCCCTTAGGCCAAAGCCTAATCCAGACCAAGGCCCTGACTCTTCAGTTCTTTGAAGGCTGCGGGAGGTGAGGGAGCCACAGGAGAAAATTGTGAAGCTAGCAGAGGTGGGTTTCTGAGTTTTAAGGAAAGAAGTCCTCTCCATAGCATACAAGGGTAAGATGAAGCAGCAAGTGCTGGTGTAGAAGCCACAGAGAGTTATCCAGAAGATCTAGCTAAGATAATTAACAAAGGTGACTATGGACCAACAGATTTTCAATATACATGAAGCAGTCTTCCCTTGGAAGCAGATGCCATCTAGGACTTTTGTAGAGAAGAGAAGTTATTGCCTGGGTCAAAGCTTCAAAGAACAGGCTGACTGCTGACCCTCTTGTGAGGGGATTAAGTACCTGCTGACTTTAAGTTGAAGCCAGTGCTCACTGACTATTCTGAAAATCCTAGGGCCCTTAACTATTAGGCTAAATCTACTGGGCCTCTGCCCTAGAAATGCAACAACAAAGCCTGTTTGACAGCACATCTGTTTACATAATTGTTTGTTGAGTATTTTAAACCCACTGTTTAAACCTACCACTCACCAAACCAAACCAAACAAAACAAAAACAAAACAAAACAAAACAAAACACTCCCTTTAAAATATTGCTGATCATTGACAATGCCGGTCACCCAAGAGCTTGGATGGATGTGTGCGATGAGATCGGAGTTATTTTCATGATGCTAACAGATTCTGTAGGCCATGGATCAAGGAGTAGTTTCAACTTTCAGTATAAAATATGCTTTGTAAAAAAAAAATAATAAATAAATAAAATAAAACTAAAATAAAATAAAATATGCTTTGTGAGGCTGTATCTGCCATAGATAGTGATTCTTCTGATGGATGTGGGCAAAGGAAATTGAAAACCTTCTGGAAAGGATTCAGTATTCTAAATATTTTATTTATTTATTTTAGATAGAGTGAGAGAGCATGAGCTGGGGGAAGAGCAGAGGGGCTTAATCTTAATTAAGGGGGGGGTGGTCTTGTAGGATGGAGCCCCTACCCTCTGGGATCTGATGCTGTTGTTGGGTACATAGAATCAGAATTGAGCTGAATTCTCAGACACCCTACTGGAATCCTGGGAATTGCTTCAAGTTGTGGGTGGGGGATCCTCCCTTGTTGGAAGCCAGGTGCTCAGAACCCTAAAAGAGCAACGGAGGAGCATATTGGTGGTTCTTTTAAAGCCTATTTTTGACAGCAGGAACTGTGCTTGTCTTACTGCAGGCCATGGGGGAACGGGACTTACCTGGTGTTTTGGTGTCTGGATTGGAAGGGCCTTACGGTATATGTGAAGATCATGTTGGAGATCTGCAGAAACATTTTAATCTCATTATCATGCAAGGATTTTTGGAAAATAAGACACAATTCAGTTCTTATCTCTGGGGAGGAAAGCTGGCTATTGACCAGGAGCTCCTGTGGAGCCTGCCATCATTGAAGATAATTGCCTCACCAGGAGCAGGTCTAGATCACCTGGACCTGAAGCTCGTTGCCAACTTTAGTGTGAAGGTTGCCAATTCACCACAGGTTGTGTCCAGCCCCATGGCAGACATGGGCATGGCCTTGCTCCTGGTGGCGGCTCGCAGGGTGGTGGAAGTTAAGCAGCCCTTGGACTTGCTGGTTTTCCAAAGAGAGCAGATGACAGGCACTCATGACAGAGGCAGTAACATAATTTTATCTTCAAGCTACAAGTCTTTTCTGGGCTTGATTTCTTCACACTGTCTCCAGGACTCTGCTGCACTTGGGGATTGGAGCCACTGTGCACAGTTTGAGGCCGGGGCCCAGCTCCTGGCACGTGTCGGCCGCCACCCAGTCCCCCTGGTCCCCACCCAGGCCATAGCATCTCTATAGACATGCCCTTGGGGTCATTCACAGGTCAGTGAGCACGCATCCCTGGAGTGAAGGGCGGGATCCGACCCCCGCACCCCCTGGACATATGGGCATGCCCCCAGCAGAGGCAGAGCTGCTGCAGTTCTGCACGCCCCATCCTCCTGCTGGAGCTGTGGTGTGGAGGCGCTCCAGGAAGGAGGCAGGAGCCAGGCTTTGTGGTTTTGGTTGCAGGTTCATCGCACGCACGCGCACACACATGCTGACACCAACACATTTTAGCCAAAAGTCCTTCCTTAATGTAAAAGAAGTTGGTATCTTGAAGCTTTCTGCCAGGATGCTCTAGTTTTGTTACAAGGAAACTGCCACTTGGTCCTCGCAGAAACCTTTGTTTGCGGTCAGAGGTCAGAGGTCAGCACTGGGTCCGGGGACGCAGCAGTGTGTGGGGTTTCTGTGTGGAGTCCCCACTGCTCACCTGCACCTTGTGGGTTTCAGGTCATGCGCTGACCACTGCACCAGGTACAGAGAGCGTCTCTACAAACTGGATGGACCGAGAAGTAACGGGGGCCACTCTGGGAATCATTGGCATGGGCAGCATTGACTATAAGATCGCTCAGAGGGCCGAGGCTTTTGAAATGAAGATTCTGTATCACAACTAGAGTTGCAGGTAAACGTCAGAAAACGGGCCTGCCATGAGCCAAGCAGACTTAGGCCATCACTGCCTTCAGCTTAGCTTGGATGTAGTAGCCTCCATTCTCCATAGACCTCCCCTGCTCTTCCTCTCCAAAAAACAAGACTGATGGTCAGGAAAGAGATTGTGATTACCTAAGAATGTGGCAGCGACTTTGTATTATTGAAAAAATTCACCGGAGAAGAGATTTTAACTCACAATTGTATTTTTTTAATTTTTAAAGTGATTTGTTTCAAGGGAGAAGCTGTCCACACTCTGGCCCTTGTGTCAGAGGGATCAGACATGTGTCTGGTCCCTTTAATACTGAAGTGCATATGGGCCCTGGGGAGAGTGGGGGGCGCTTCCCTGAATGTGCATATTCTGCCCTCAGCCCAGCACCCGGCTTTGGGATTCCAAGTCACTTCATGGATGCCACGGGCTCATATCCACCTAAGAGGTGCTTGCAACTGCCCGTGCGCATCCAGCCAACGATGGCCATGCTTGACAAGCTTGCAGCGGCCTCCCACTGCCATGGAACACCTTCCGGCTGGCCAGAACCTGGCGGAGGTCCTCCTGAGGGCCGTGCCCAACTCAGTCTGCACCATGGGCGGTGAAGAGACTGGAGTGCAATGATGACTCTCCTGGTGATGACTGTGCACATGGGGACCAGGGTTCTTCTAGGACAAAGTCTCTTCTCCGGGCCATCGCCAGACCCCAACCTGTGATATTTCACATTCAGTATCCGTATGGCAGTGGCCACTGCCCGGGAGGCTGTGACCTCCAGGAGTAACCAGCTGTGTGAGGTGCCCGGAGCAGGACCAGGGCCCTTGCTTTGTTTGATAAGCAGCATCCCCAGGGGGCTGCAGGGTGTCTGCCCGCATTTGTCTGTGGTCACAAAAGGACCTGCACGTATTCCTGCTTGCAGTGGGACCCACATCCTTTCAGGAATGTTCTGTCATCCTTGAGCATATGTGGGTGTATGGCTAGGCTTGGTCCAGGCCCCCGAGGTCCAGGAAGAAGCTGCTGCTCGAGGAGCCTCAAGGGAGACCCCTCAGACCCAGGCCTCCCCTGAGAACCCAGGGGTGCCATGGGGCTGCACGGCAGGGTCCCAGACTCACATTGATAGGGGTCCTCAGAAACTCCTTCCCGGGCCTGCGGTACGGATTTCTAACTAGAGAACATGGTTTTTCTTCCTCATTCCCTCTGTAGGAAAATAGAGGAGGAAGTTGTCGGGGCCACTTACTGTGAGAGTCTAGATAACCTGCTACAGCGATTGGACTTCGTGCTGTTGGCCATGAACCTGACACCCCAGACCCAGGGGCTGATTGGGTGGAGGGAGCTGTGTGGGATGAAGCTCACTGCCATCCTCATCAACATCGGCAGTGGTACCTGGGCCGTGGTGCGTGTCGGGCCGCCTGGCTGGGGAGTCATGAGGGAGAAAACCCCCTGGCGGTCCTGACCCCCCTCACTCACCTTTCTCCGGCACAGCCGCGGTGTTCTGAGAGTCCACGTAGAAGGCTGGGGTACTGAGTTCCCAGGACTTTACTTTCCATGTAGAAATATTTCTGATTTTTGTTTTCACATCATTCTGAAACTCAAATCAACAACAAAAAGGATGAGAATAGTACCATATGGAGTCTTCACACCCCTATCTGGGCATGTTGGAGTAGAGCCGTTACACTTTGATTTTCTGGGTACAATTTAGTAAAATTTATGGGGATGAATTCTTATGAGCCTTCACTTTAAAAAAATAAATAGCTTAGTGTTAGTTTGGTTATTTGACATTTCATGCCTTGTGTTTACATACAAGAGGCAGTGGACCCTGTGGTGGTCCCAAATATTGTGGGTTGGTGTGGCATTTATAGAGAATAGAGCATCGGCACTGATGTCGGACATTCAGGCCAGTGACCTCTATGGGCTGGGGGCCAGAGGACACGGGACACCTAGGGCTCCCAAGAGCCACTCCTGTCTCTTCTGTAGAACAAGGAAGACCATGCTTGCCACCTGAGATGGTGATTTGTAAGAAACATAGTAAGTTATTCTGCTGTGGTCTTCATGCACAGTTTCTGGCTCCTGCTGTCCAAACCCTCAAAATCTCTGAAGCGTTGAGTGATAAAGGTGCCGTTTGTTTAAAAAAGGTGACTTCTGGAACCCACTCGATCAAGGGCAGGGGCTGCTGCCAGGAGGCCCAACCATGGGGTCCACACCTGACCTCTGGGGAGATGAAAGGGCCTGGCGTTTCAATCAGCCAGTGGCCGATGATTTCATGAATTGTGGCCAAGCAAAGAAGCCTCCATAGTAACCCAAAATGCCTGGGTTCAGAAGCTTCTGAATCAGTGAAGACCCAGGGAATAGGGAGAGTGGCAGCTGTCAGCAGAAGGCATGCAGGCTCCATGCCCTGTCCCCAGATCTCTCCCTGTGCGCCTCTTCACTGGGCTGTGGGTTCTCACCCTCTCTCAGATCCCTTAACAAAGAGGTAAATGTGAGTGTCTCCCTGAGTTCTGTGAGCCGCTGCCACAAATTAACGGAGCCTAAGGAGGAAGTCACTGGAATCTCCAACTGGTGGCTACTTGGCCAGAAATACAAGTAACAGCCTGGGACATCTGACCAGTGTCTGAGGTCAGGGGTGGGGGCAGCGTGAGAGGCCTGAGCCCTTCACCTGTGGGACTGGATGCTAATTCCAAGGTAGACAGCATCAGAATTGGGCTGAATTCTCAGACACAGGTGCTGGTGTCCCAGAATTGCTCGGTCTTGCAGGAGGGCCCACTGCCCCATGTTGGCATGCACAGGGCTGGGCTAACTTGCTCCAGAGTTCTCTGAAAATTCAGACCCTCTAGGTGAGCAGGAAGGAGCAAGTAGTTTCAGTAACATCAGAGGCTGGTGGACGTGCTTGAGATTCTGGGAAAACAGCCGGGAAAGGGCGTGGACTAGGCTTTTCCAGCAGCCTCCCCTGCTGCTCCCGCTGCCCAGAGGAAAAGAGCTCCATGCCGAAGGAAAGGGTTTTCTTCTCAGCTTCTGCTCAAATGTGCTGGGCTCTTCTGAATCTGAAAGGACAGTTGAGAATTCTGCTTCTGGCTTAGTGTCCACCGTGCATACGCAGCTGTCAGGGTGGCATCCCTACCCCAAAGAACAAATGCTCATGCCAGGAGGTAGTGACGCAACATGGGCCCAGGCCACAGGTCTGGGCTGATTTGCTAGGAGCTATGTGACCTGCCGTCAGGCCTCAGTTCCTCGTGAGTAAAATGAGGACTGGCTGCCCAGTGTTTGGAGGATCTAGTGGGAGAGCGTGTGTGCAGGCCTAGTGCACTGCCTGGCACGTGTCAGCCTCACATCCAACAACGAAGAGACACGAAGAAGCTTGCGGCCTCTGTCAGATGTTTGGCAAGATCAGGATGTGTTTGCAACAGCAGCTGCTAAAAGAGTAGAGCGCCCTTCCTGGAGACCGCCCAACTGTACTCATGCAGGGGCCTTTTCTCTCTGATCACGTCCATTAGTCTATCAGGATGCCCTGATGGAAGCTCTTCAGAATGGTGTCATCAAAAGGGCAGCACTGCATGTGATGCACCCGGAGCCCCTGCCCAGGTAGGGAAGCGGGACAGAATCTGCATCTCTCCTGATACATGGGGGGTGCTCCTGCAGCAATCCCCGCCTCTGGCTTTGGCAGACCTGCAGGGTCTTGGTCACAGAGACTTGTGAGCAGGCGTCCAGTTTGTCCAGTTCTGCAGCTGGACAGGGAGCTCCGGGCTCTCGGGCTGCAGCCCCCACGGGTGGAGACTGCATAGGATAGTCCTCGTCTTGGACAGTGACCCTGGTTTGCCCCCTGGAGCATCAGAGCGCCTATGATTCTCCTTTTCCACAAACCTGGTGTATTGTCAACCACCGCATCTCATCGTACATCCCCCCAAGGTTAAGCATCTTCATGCCCCTCATTCACAGCCTACAGTACATTTCCAGACACTTTGTTGTTAGTATTGCTGCCAGCACTTTAGGTTCTTTTTTTTTTTTTTTAAGATTTTATTTATTTATTCATGAGAGACAGAGAGAGACAGAGAAGCAAAGACACAGGCAGAGGGAGATGCAGGCTCCCTGTGGGGAGCCCAATGTGAGACTTGATACCAGAACCCCGGGGTCATGCCCTGAGCTGAAGGCAGATGCTCAACCTTGGAGGTGTCTAATCCACCCAAGCATCCCAGGGGAACTAGATATCAACTACACCAATGTTAGAGGTGCTAGCACCACCTTCTCAGCACAGCTGCCCTTGCCTGTTCACCAGAGAGTATGGGCATGACTCAGTTTTTACTGGGTTCTGAATTGGGGACAAAGTAGGTCACCCCGTCTCAGCTCAGAGCCTCATGGGAGGATGGTTTCCAGTGTGTGCTGTGCTGTAGCAGAGCCGACGTTACCCTGGCTCCCTGCCGGGTAGATCCCTGTCTTCACTGTGATCCCTCCCAGGTCAGGTGCCCCAGAGGACTTCCACAGGTTTGGGGTCCCTAAGATTCCCAAAGGGTGGCGGGCGATCACTGTGAGTGTACTTTGGCCTCTGTCTTCAAACAATCCAGGGGCCCTGCTGGGTCAGGTCACCGCCCTTTCCCTGTGCTGGTTCCCAGTGTTACTATCACTGAGCCTGCCCCACGTCCCTCTTTTCCTGGGCTGGCGGCCATCCTCTGCCTTCTTCCGGGAAGAGAACACCCCCTAATCTAATTCCAGTTAATAAATCTTTCCCTTCTAAATGCCACACCCATTAAAGGCACATTCAGCCTGTCCCACGATGCCTAGACTAGCACCCAGATCCCCACGTGCCATCGTGTGCTAATGGCCTGGGTTTGGTTAGGAGTCTTGTGTGACCCCCGAAGATGCTGCCGCCCACCCCGCCCTGGGGTCAAGATGAGTGGGGGTCAGACCTAGCCGTGATCGGGGGATACTGCGTAAGGCCAGCGACCCTCCCCCTTCTCAGCGTGAGGATGTCCGACCGGGACGTGAAATCAGAGACACCGAACCGAGCTGCATAGTTCTCAAGCACCGAGCTGCCTCCCGGGGCGCCGCGTTCCACACCTCATGCTGGAAGCGCGATGCACCGAGCCAGGTGGCAGACGGTGGACGGTCCGGTGGATCGCGTCCGGGCTTCTGCCCACGGCCTCCCCGGCCTCCCCGCCCCGACCGGAGCGCTACTTCAGCGACCGTGTGAGGGCCGATTGAGTGCCAAGACCTAGGGCACATTTAGCGGGGAAAGAATCCTTATTTTGTGTACTTACTAGAGCCCATTCCATACGTTGGTTTGATGTTCTTTCGGCCGGAGGGCGCCCTGTTGGCTGGGTCAGATGTGGGGGTCCTGCGTGAAGCCCGTGTTGTGGTGGGGATCACGTGAACAGACTCTGAAAACCGTTTACTATTCTTTTGGCTGAAAAAAATCTTTTTTTTTTTAGATTTTTTTTATTTGTTTATGATAGTCACAGAGAGAGAGAGAGAGAGAGAGAGAGAGAGGCAGAGGGAGAAGCAGGCTCCACGCACCGGGAGCCCGACGTGGGATCCGATCCCGGGTCTCCAGGATCGCGCCCTGGGCCAAAGGCAGGCGCCAAACCGCTGCGCCCCCCAGGGATCCCCGAAAAAAATCTTAAGAGCAGTAGTGATACCCCCACGGCGAGCCCGCTGGATGCCTGCCTCCCCGTCACCCCCTCCGGGCGGCCTGGGGGAGCTGACGCCGCCTGGACACCCTGGTGCCCTGTGCAAACCCCGCAGGCGCCTGCCTAGGGCTGGGCCCCGCCCCCCGCCCCCCGCCCCCCTCCCCCCTCCCGAGGGCCCCAGCCTCGAGGGTCGCGGTGTCCACGGCGGCCCAAGCCCGTCACGGCGTCCGTGCGTCCGTGCGCCGAGTGCCCGCGGGGGCCCCGGGCGTGCGGGTGCGAGGGGCGCGAGGGGCGCGAGGGGCGCGAGGCCACCAGCCGGAGGCCCTCAGGCGCCGGGCGGCCTCCCTCGGGGGCGCAGGGCCGCGCTGACCGCAGGGGCCCGAGGCTGTCGCCGTCCGCAGCCCGAGGGCGCGCCCCGCCCCGCCCCGCCCCGCCCCGCCCCGCCCCAGGTTGCCGCTCGCCGCCGCCTGCGCCTCTGCTCGCGCGCTTCCGCCCGGGCCAGGCCCCGCCCCCCCGCGCCGTCCGCCCGCGCCGCCGCCGCTCCCCCGCCGCCATGTGGGCCGCAACGGCGCGTCCGTGGGGCCTTCCCCGGGGGCTCCTGGCGCCGCCCTGGGGCCCGCGCGCGGCTCTCCTTCCGGGTGGCGCCCGAGGCCTGCGGGGCTCGCCGGTCCCCTGCGGCAAGAACCTGCTCAAGAAATTCGCCTCGAAAACTAGGTGATGCGCAGCCGGTCCGCGCGGGGCGCCGGGAAGGGGGTCCAGGGGCGGGCCCGCGCGTCGGGCGTGAGTCCGCGGGGGCGCGGGGGCTCTGCGGGCCCGGCCAGCCGCTCTCGGGCACCCGCTCCCGGTGACCCGCCGCCCGCCGGGGCCTGGTGAGCGGTGCCGCCCTCGCTCGCCGCTTCCGGGGCTCGCCCCCCCCCCCCCCCGCTGAACGCTGCGGGGGGTCTCCCCTCCCCCTCCCCATCCCCTCCCCTCCCCCATCCTCTCCCCTCCCCCATCCCCTCCCCCATCCCCATCCCCCTCCCCATCCCCTCCCCTCCCCCATCCTCTCCCCATCCCCTCCCCCATTCCCCCTCCCCCTCCTCGGTGTATTTCCCTGCATCATCTCCTCGGCGCCCCGGTGACACCGCGTGGAGTCCGTGGCCGCAGCCCGCGCCGGGACACAGGATCGTGGCCCCTCACCAGGGTGCAGTGGGCGCGTCCGAGGGCAGATCCGGGAGCCTCCCTGTCCCGGTGCCGTCCTCGCGGCCTCAGCGCTGGTCCCAGAGGGGACAGCGAGATGCGGTGCTTCTCTGACTGAAGGTCCTCCTGTGACGGGCCCAGCTCTGGGGTGGACTCGCTCCAGACCTCCGCGCAGCCGGGGCGGAGCAGAGGTCCTGCGGGGATCCGTATCCACGCCTCGGTGCCTGGTTCCTGCGTCCACAGCTTTGTTGTTCCTTTTTTATTTGAATTCAGTTTGCCCACATAGGGTGTCACACCTCGTGCGCATCCCATCACGTGCCCTCTTCATGGCCCTCCCCCAGCCACCCTGCCCCCCAGGTATCCCAGTCCCCCCATCACCCCATTCCGCGGTTCCCCATCACCCCGTGCCCCCTTGCCCTGATCACCCACACCCCACCACCCTGTCCCCCAGCCCCCCTGTCCCCTGGTCCCCTGGTCCCCCTGTCCCATCACCCCATCCCCTGGTTCCTCCACCACCCTGTCCCCAGTCACCCCATCCCCCCACCCCCAGGTACCTCATCCTCCCTCCCCCCTCCCCCCTCCCCCTCTCCTCCAGGAACGCACAGCACAGTGTGTTTCCTGGAGTCATGGTTTGTTTTTCTTTCTATTTTTTCCTTCGTTTCGATTTAAAATCCTTTTTCTGCCCCTGGATCCCATGCAGGGACCACGTTACATTCATCATCTCTTCAGGCTCCTCTTGCCCAGCGGTTTCACAGACTTTCTGATGGTCTTGATGGCTAGATGTTTTCTAATGCTCCTCTGCTGGGATGTGTGGGACTCTTGTTCTTCCCGTGGTTATGCTGGCATTATGGGTGCTTGGGGAAGGGCCATGTCCATCTGTGTACACGGTGCACACTGCCAGTGTGGTTTGTCACCTTTGGCCTGATGACTGAATGAAGTCACATGTGTCGGGTTTACCGCTGGCAAGTTACCCACACCCACTCCATCCCATCCTCTTTAGGGACTTCCCTTGCTCTTGAATGTTTGCAGTTCTGTGTGAGAGGCAAATAACCTCGTCCTACACTGACTAAAGATCAGTGTGGTCTTACAGGTGTTAACCTAATATAACTTTATCTCGCTCAGATTGTTTTAGCTTTGACCCTTGTGAGCTCTTTTTTTTTTTTTTGTTTTTGTTTTTTTTTTTTTTGTTAAAGATCTTATTTATTTATTTATTCATGAGAGATACAGAGAAAGGCAGAGACACAGGCAGAGGGAGAAGCAGGCCCCACGCAAGGATCCCGATGCGGGACTCAATCCTGGGTCTCCAGGATCACGACCTGGGCTGAAGGCAATGCCAAACTGCTGAGCCACCGGGGCTGCCCTCCCATGAGCTCTTTATTTAGCTCCTATCTCTCTTTGATGTACTTGTTGTTATGGGATTTTGTGGTGGCTTTTAAGTTTAAGAACTTTTTTCAAGCTTTATTTATTTGAGAGAGAAAACAGGAGCAGAAGGAGGGGCAGAGGGAGAAGCAGGTTCCCATCCCAGGACCCTGAGGTCATGACCTGAGCCAAAGGCAGCCACTTAACCGACTGAGCCACCCAGGTGCCCCTAAAAAACATGTTTTTGTTTTTGTTTTAGCACTTCTTCCTCAGGCTGGAGTCAGCCACTTCTCCTGGAAGCTCTGTTATTGCAGGACACCATCAGAGATGATGCCCTGAGACCCGGGGTGTCTGTCCCTTAGGCCTTTCAGCTGACAAAGCAGAAAATAGGTTTCCGTTAACCCCTGCATGCACATATTCTGTACTTGAGCACTGCAGGGATCCTTGAGTCCATACTGATGTCCAGCTCCAGTCCATCTCCACACGGCTCGTCCAGCTAGCATTCCTTGCTTATCTGTAATCTGCTGCTGAAGCGGTGAGGCCTGCCTCCCCCACCACCACCCAGTTTCCCGGTCCCGTCCAGCACGTGCATGGACCCGGGTATGGTGCTTGCGTGCAGTTTGGTAGGCATTCTTTTAAGATTCTCTTTCTGCACCTTCGGGATTGGAAGTAGACCTTAAGGAAACATTAGGAGGTTGAATTAAAACTGTCTTTTATCTCCCCTGCAACCTGTGTTGTTGATCAGAATTCTAAATTTCTTCACTCCCTGGTAACACCATCCCTGTGCCCAGGTTTGGCTCCCTAGGAAGGATTGTGCTATTGCTCTATTGAGTTGCTGTGTGATTTCATTTTCTTTCATTTGCTGTCAGCATCATAGATCTATTTTCTCTCCACAGAAAGAAGTTTTGGTATGAAGGCCCTTCGTTGGGTTCTCACTTGGTAAGTGTAGAGCAGCATCGAGAGCTGCTTTACCCTCTGGGCAGGAGTCATGGCAGTCCTTCCATTTCCACGTTCGAGCAACACAAGGTCTGCAGGGGCAGGACTGGACACACTGGGGTGTGAGTTGTCACTAGTTAAAGTAGTTGTCACTACTTAAAGATTTTATTTTAGAGGGAGAGTGAGTGAGCGAGCAGGGGGAGGGGCAGAGGGAGAGAGAATCCCATGCAGACTCCCCGCTGAGCACAAGCCTGACTGGGGCTCCATCCCACGACCCCGAGACCATGACCTGAGCTGAAACCAAGAGTTGGACACTCCACCACCCAAGCCCCCAGGCGCCCCTTGACTTAAAAATAAATTATTGTGAAGGTTTCTGGAATGTCTGTGTTATCAAACACTAGTGTCAGAATGTCCATCTGGTCTTTAGCGCGCGCGCGTGTGTGTGTGTGTGTGAGAGAGAGAGAGAGAGAGAGAGACATGTATACACGTGAATAAACTGAAATTTTACGTCATGAGTGGTTCTTGTTAGAGAAAGTACATTGTTAACAACCACTGAATTGTTTAAGAGGGAGAACTTTATGGTACGTGGGATTGTTTCAACGAGATTTCTGGATGGAAAAGCATCTACCAACACACTTGTTGTGGGGGGAGGATAGGTGAAACCTCAAGGATCTTGGTCTGTGAGTTGTGTCTTAGTGAAAGCTGAAGTGGCTCAGTCACATTGGCTTTTTTCTTGGTACTTCTGCATGGAGACGTACAAGCCGTCCCGGTTGGACTTCCTAACGAAGACTACTGCAAAGAAACCCAGGAGGGACGACCATGTGCGCCTGCGGGCACTGAACGGCCTCCTCTACAAAGCACTGATGGACCTGCTGTGCACCCCTGAAGTGAGCCAAGAGATCTGCGACCTGGACGTGCAGCTCTCCAAGGTAGGGTCGGGGCCAGAGTGGGAAGAACAGGGTGAGGCCGGCAGGCAGTGTCCTTTGACACCGCAGCCCAGTGTGAGGGAAGGGCCCACGTCTGTCACAAAGCCTCTGGGTTCAGAAGCCACGTGAAGCGTGACCATTTAAGTAGTAAAGATGGGGTATGTGTGTGGCATGCGGTGTGCAGGTGCCCAGTGGGCTTGTGGGATGGATGCACCTACATCTCTGTTGCCCTAGAGTGAGTTGAGCCAGGGGGATGTGAGGAGGGCTAGAGGTGGCAGGTTGGGCATTTTGGCACGCACCATGGGATTGGGGTCAGGGATGTTGAGGGTTCGGATTTGGAACCCAGCTCCATCTCCTATGAGAGGGTGGCAGGAGATGGTGGCCTGTGGCGGGGGTGGGGGGCTGCTGACCAGCTAGAGCTCCTGAGCTCTTGTTGGTCTCCTGGTGTTGTCTGCGTGCGAGAAAGCCCCGGAGGCTGATGCTGACCGGAGTCTGGGGCTGGGCCCCAGGTCTCTCTGACTGCAGACTTCTCAGCCTGCCGTGTGTACTGGAAGACCACAGTCTCCGCCAAGCAGAGCGCACACACAGAGGCTGTCCTGCGGGGGAGTGCTGCCCACATGAGGTGACAGTGCCGTGCTCTCTGCCTACTTGCTTTTGCGTGTACCATGAATCTCCCACTTGCTGCATCAAGTATTTTTGCTTTTAAGGAAAATCTTGGAAGCACATTCTTAAATTTCAAAATGTGATTTATGGTTTCCTGCAAGACCTGATCTAGAGCAGTGGTTCTCAGAGTGCGGTCCTAGACTTCTGGGGACTCCTGACGCCCAGATGCCCCCGTGCTCTTTGAGTGTCATGCCACAGGCTTACAGGAGAACTCAGTGCTATTTTATTTAGGATTTATTTAGGATTATCCTTGAATAAACCTTTTATTTGGGATTATCCTTGAATAAGTGGAAGTTGCTAATTTTATTAAATCCAGTGCTTCTGTGGGGTGGGGAGTGAGCGTAAACTAACCTGTGCTGGTGTGGGATGGTGGTCTCGGGAAGGTGTGCAGTTGAGCGTGAGCAGAGGCAGTCGCTCACTGGAGAGAACCAGTCAACTAGTGTGGTTTTCCAGATTCAGGAGTTTGACATTTTTCTCTAAAATGAGCAAAGTGAACCTGCCACTCTGAGGGAGAACAGTGAACTCTACTTGTTGCCAGTGTAAAATTCAAGCTTTCTTTTTTTAAAGATTTATTTGTTTATTGGGGGGGGGGGGCAGAGGAAGAAGCAGACTCTGCTGAGCAGGGAGCCCAAGGTGGCTTGACCTCAACCTTGAGATCATGACCTGAGCCAAAATCAGGAGTCGGACCTTAACCAACTGAGCCACACAGATGCCCCAAAATTCAAACTTTCAAATGAAAATTGACTTTAGAAAACTTATGTCTACCACCGTGAGTTGGATAGTGTTCCGACACTTAGACTCTGGTAACGCTAATAAGTGCAGTGTTGTGTAGTATGTGCCACCCTCTGAAAATCTGGGTAGGCTGGGGAATCCGTGTTTTCTAAACGAGTTGTCCTTGAGGCCACAGAATCACGAATAGGGAAAGAACAGTGCCCGTTTTCAGGTTCCACGGCGCAGCTAACTAAGCCATTGTTGGTTGACCTGTGGAGTACTCCTCTTCCAGTTAGGGGTCACTGTGAGACCGGATTTTCTTGTATTTCAGCCAAAATAACAGAACAACTTGAGTATAGATGGAGAGATGAGAATCCAGGGAAGCTAGGCACTGAAGAAATTTGTAACTGTGTAAACAACACCACCCTTCTTAATTTTTTTGAAAGTAGTTATATTTCATTAAAAATATCCATGTGAGCATTTAGAGGGTTTGTTATTTGAAATGAATTAACATATTTTTCAAATTCTTGTTTTTAATTTATAGCATGGTAGATATGGACAAGACACAACCCACGTTAACAAAAGCTCCTTGCATCCTCAGTGATTTTTAACAGTATAAGGACCGAACATTTTGAGAACTGTGGAGCTGGGTGATAGTGAAGGAGTTACTCCAGGGGCGCCTGGGTAACTCAGTGGGTGAAGCCTCTGCCTTCAGCTCAGGTCACCATCCCGCGGTCCTGGGCTCCCTGCTCAGTGGGGAGTCTGCTTCTCCCTCTTCCCCTCCCTCTGCTCATGCTCTCTTTCTCTTTCAAATAAATAAATAAAATCTTAAAAAAAGAGAGAAGTTAGTCCGTTTCCTCCCCAGTCCGAGGAAATGCAGAAACCTAACCCACCAGCACTCTCAGAATGGGGTTCTCTCCTCTCTCTCTCCCTTCCCTGCTCTGTCACTCTCACCAATCCCTCTTCCCTCTCACCAATCCCTCATCCATCTCCACCACGTTTTGGAGATGGGGATGAGTCCTGTGAGGAGCTAATGTTTGCATGTCCCATACCGTCTGCTTCAGTTCTCCTGACATCCGTCCCCGGAGGCCCTAGGAGTCTCTTAAATTGTGTATCAAAGAGTGTTCAGTTTATTCTATTTTTTTCTTGTTAACAGAAACGAGAAAAAGATTTCCAATAAATGTTGGCAATAGCAGTATTGTTTTCCTTTTGTTTTTCTTTAAAGATTTTATTTATTTATTCATGAGAGACACACACAGAGAGAGAGGCAGAGACACAGGCAGAGGAAGAAGCAGGCTCCATGTAGGGAGCCCAACACGGGACTCCATCCCTGGTCTCCAGGATCAGGCCCTGGGCTGAAGGCGGCGCTAAACTGCTGAGCCACCCGGGCTGCCCGCAGTATTGTTTTCTGATTAATTTTTAGGTAATCAGGAAATCCAGCTAAACAGACTATCCCTTTCCTAGCTCCTGCGCTCATCCTGCTCACCTGAGGTTTAGTGTGGAGGCTTTCTTGTACCTGTGTGTCACTGTGCAGAGAGGCTGTCCCAGCAGTGTCTTCCCTGGAGGCTAATGCAGCTGATTTCACCTCAATGTGCATGCTGGAGCCACTGCAGATGATGACGTATGTGTGGCTCTGGGTGCTTGAGGACCTCCATGCACGTCTGTGGCCTTGCTGCCAGTGAATGTCTGCTGAGTGGAGGAATGGGGTCGGGGCAGGCTCTTCGTGCCCAGACCTCGCAGCCCATGGCCACCACCATGCCCAGGAGGCTCTGAGCTAAGACCAGGTTATTCATAAGGATCTCAAGAGTTTTATTTAGGCAATTAGAAATAGTCGTGATAATGGGCAGTTGGCTAAGGATGAGTTTCCTGCACTGACATCCTTGTGTTTGTGTAAGGTGATGAGCAAATCTCATGTTTTATCTCTCCTTGAGATGATTGTATATTCTTGTTTCTGCAACTGTCACGTACAATGTCTCTCTCCAGGCACCTTCTGATGGCCCAACAGATCCTAAGGAACGTGCCGCCAATAGTGTTCATTCAGGACAGAGGCAGTTTGGCTCTGGCGGAGGTACGGCTTTAAATAACTCACTTCTCTGACAGGAGCTTACTACAGGGGTAAGATCTTACATGTAATCTTCACATATTCGAATGCTGATGTGTGTAGTTAAAAGAAATAATCCTTTGATCAGTTCATGTGGGAAGTGAGGCTCCCAGGCACCCGTCCTAGCCAGATTCCCTAGAGGTAACCACTTTTTCTGGCTCTTTAAAAAAATGTTTACCATTAAATCTCTAGCTAGGAAACCAAATCTTGGTTTCTCAGCTTACAAACTGTCTTCCTCTTCGGATTCAACCTAAGTTACATTACACTAAAGGTTACGTCCTGTTAATTGTAAGTTAATTATAAAGGTTACAAATTGTAAGTTTATATATATTTTTCTGTGTCGTAGTTACTTGATGGTTATTAAGGTGTGTTATGCTTTTCTTTTTTTTAGGAAACAGGTTTTGCTTTCATTGGCTAGATAGAAAAATATGCAACATTTATGCAATAATTAATTAGGAAACTAGCTTTTGCTATGACACAAAGTAAATAAGGCCATTTTAAATCTTGTTTGAAAACATTGCATGCTTTTCTGCCATGGAAAAAGCTTATTAGCGACACCTAATAAACCGCTGGGTGGCTCAGCAATTGGGTGTCTGCCTTTGGCTCAGGGTGTAATCCCTAGATTGGGGATTGGGTCCCCACGGGGAGCCTGCTTTGCCCTCTGCCATTGTCTCTCATGAGTAAATAAATAGAATAAAAAAAAAAAAGGAAAAAGCTTATTAAAGCAGACTTAATTATTAGTAACAACATTGTTTGAAATAAAATACAGAGTGCTCTTTCAGGTTATTGAACAAAGACACTGCTCATGCACTAGTAAGCAGTCCAAGTTCAGGTCAGAGGATCTTTTGATTAGTGAGTTTAATGAATTTTATTTAGTGAGCTTATAGCTTCAGTTTTCAGTGCACAGAAGGCTCTTCACTCTATGCTTTTTTAATTAAGTCAGTTTCAGTTCAGTTCTCAAAAACCAAGGGTAGATAAAAAACTGACTTCCTCATAGGTCAGGGATAATGCCAATGTATAACTTGCACATTTTGTTTTATTTATTTATTTTTTAATATTTTATGTAAATTTAGTTTGTCAACATATAGTATAACAGTGCTCATCTCGTCATGTATATTACACTTTAAAAAGTTTAGAAAAACACCTAGTCGGTAGCATTTATGGTATTATTATAGTTAGGGAGCTGTTGGTCACCACAGGACTAGATAGTATTTTTTTCTTTACTTTTGCTTCTTTATTTCTTTTCTTTTATTTTTAAGATTTTGTTAATTTATTCGTGAGAGAGGCACAGAGAGAGGCAGAGACACAGGCAGAGGGAGAAGCAGGCTCCATGCAGGGAGCCCGATGTGGGACTCAATCCTGGGACCCCAGGATCACAACCCGAACCAAAGGCCAACGCTCAACTGCTGAGCCACCTAGATGCCCCATTTTTATTTATTTTAAATGTTTATTTATTTGTTTGAGAGAAAGTGCAGGTGCATGTGAGCGGGGGTGGGGGGGTGGGGGCAGAGGGGCAGAGGGAGAGAGAATCTCCAGCAGACCCCCTGCCCCAGGGCTCAATCCCATGATCCGGAGGTCATGACCAAGCTATACCAGGAGTCAGATGCTCAGGCACCCCAGGACTAGATAGTACGTAATCCACAGAGGAAAACAAATCTAAATAGACATTTTCAGTTTTTGTTGGTGGTTATTCAAGCAATACTGAAAACATATGAATAATAACCTTGATGGATACGTGATTTTTGTGGCTAGAAAGGGAAACAAAGGGGTAGAGTGAGCAGCACCACTTAATTTAGAGCATCAAGTATAATTTAGGCTATGGAGTGTGCTGGGAAGATGCATGGAGGAACTCACCCACACACAGTGGGTCGAGCTGGTAGGAGGATGTATCACTGCACTGTGGGAGAGCCCTCTACTCACATTACACCATGACTTGTCCCTCTAGGGGGCAGGAGGTCCTATCTGGCCTGTGGCCCCCTTTTTAGAAGAAGTCATTGGAGGAGGGAAGTGCAGGCAGTGCTCAGAGCATCGCAGGCAGGTGTGTCTGCAGAGATCCTGCTGCTGGGTGTTTGCTGTGGAGGCCACTTGGGCCTGTCCAGCCTGTGTCCTCCCACGTCCTTCCTGGGCTTCTGCTTGCCTCCTTGTTCTTAGGTTTCTGTGTCCCTGTAGCTGGGAGCAAGCAGAGGCTGAACCAGAGGGGGATCTGGGGCAGGTGATTCGCGGAGGGCACGGCTGTGACCTGTTGCTCTTCCTAAGTCCCGGCAGTGTTTTTTGAAGTAGGGGCTAAAGCCAGCCAGTAGTACAGCAGTTTGGACAGACACACGCATGTGAAATTGAGGATTACGGATGAAACTGAGTCTCTGCCTGTCAGCTTATTTTTGTATTTCTGTATCTTGTGTTGGTTGTGTCACGTTGAAAAATTGTTGATAAAAGCAGTGATAGCGGCCGGCAGTGCTTTCAACACCTTGCTTTGCATTCCTAGAATCATCTCCATGACTCTGAGCATTTGAAAGAAGAGCAGTAATGAGCTCTGCCCAAACTGAACCCCCAGTAGCTTTTTTTTTTTTTAATTTTTTTTTTTTTAATTTTTATTTATTTATGATAGTCACACAGAATGAGAGAGAGAGAGAGAGGCAGAGACACAGACAGAGGGAGAAGCAGGCTCCATGCACCGGGAGCCCGACGTGGGACTCGATCCCGGGTCTCCAGGATCGCGCCCTGGGCCAAAGGCAGGCGCTAAACCGCTGCGCCACCCAGGGATCCCCCCCCAGTAGCTTTTAGCCATGTTGGTGTCCATGCCTGTAAACACGCAGCGGAGCTCAGGGAAACAACCGTGGAAACCAGAGAGATGCCAGTGTGCACACTCCCCTGAGAGGTTTCCATTAGAGTCCTGGCCACAGCCAGTGTGCCAGAATCCCACTGTGGGAACCTCCTGTGCGGGGGGCTGAGCAGCACCCCCTGCGTACTCTTCACCCTGTGTCCTGCCACCCAAAGTTCCCGTGGCAGGGGCTGTGGAAACGAGAGTGTGCAGTAGGGACGTGCATGGAGTGCTGGCGGCACGGCTTCCTGTGTCAGCTGAGAACAGTGGACATGCGCCCCTCACCGCTCAGCTGACATGGAGCTGAGGAAAGGCCATGTTCCTGTGACTCTGTTTATAAGTCAGACAGTGTGACAGACCTTTGCTGATGGAAGTCACAGTGGCAGCTGTCTCTGAGGAAGGCAGAGGGTGGGAGGGACGTGAAAGGGCTTCTGGGGTTCATTACCTCGACGTCGGGATGGCTGTTGGTGCAGTGCATCTGTGACATGTCCCCGAGCTGCACACTTGATTTGTGCACATCTCCCGTGTGTTACATTTCAATCAAAGAGTTTTTAAAATACTGATTTTTTTCATGATTGTAAAGGAGAAAATGTAAACTTTCAAAGAAAATACATCAACTATGGTACCAGTGTTGTGATTTATTACACATTTGTCTGTCCCCTGGCTGACCATCAGGCGAGTTCACCTAAGCACATGGGCTGCTTGCTCTCCATAGTCAGGCCTGAGTCCTCCCAGACAGTGGGGTCCGAGCAGCCCCGCCTCTCACTCAGAGGTCAGCTTAGAGCCGCTGCCATCCCTGTGTGGGTTCTCTGGGCTCAGAGTTGGCCGGGAGTTACCTTGCAGCCTTCTATGTGTGTCAGGGTTTGGTTGCATTTACATCGCGTTCTTGGTTAGGGCTTCACAGATGAGCCTCTGAGGCCTGGGCTGCGGGCAGTGCCCTCTGTCCTCACCCTCCTCCCACCAGCTCCAAAGTAGTTTCCCCAGGTTAGAATTCAGGAGTTTCACATGAATACAAGCAGACACCTGGCTGCTTATGCCTGGCACAGATTTTGAGGTTCACCTTGTTTCATGTGTAGGTGGTTCCTTCTTGCTGAATGACCCGATTATCCTCCCATGGATGTTAGTTTCTGTTTCTGATTTTTGGCTACTCTGAGTAAAGCTGCTCTCAATGGCAGTGCACACATCTTTGCGTGAGTGTGTTCCTTTTATTTCTTGCAGGTCAACATGTAGGAGTGGCCAGTAGGTGTTCTAGTTCTTGGGAAACTGCTGGTCAGAGTTACCAGGCTGTGTGACCATCTGCTCCCACCTGATGCTGGAGGCCCTGCTGCATGTGCTGAGGCCGTTCTGGTGGTGCACTGTGGTGACTAATTCTGCTGAGCATCTTCCCAAGCACGTGTTGGCCGTTCTTGTGAAGTCTGTTCAAGTCTTATGCCGATTCTTACAAGGTTTGCTGAGAGTGGGGTGTGTGAATGGTCATGTGTCCAGCACAGGCCCCCTTGGCAGGTACAAGCGGATGTGTTCTCTGAGCTCACTCGGGAGATGTCCACTCAGTGCTTGTTTTGTGGCATCATCAGTCCTGTTTTCTGGGGACTGACTTTTCTCCTGGTTCTTCTGTTTTTACACTGGTGGTTTTTACTGGCGTGCCGTTGGTTTGTGGTGATGCTTTGTGTTGCTGTGCGATGGCAGGCCACCAGCCTGGGCTGTCTTGGGCTTGCCCTGCAGCAGGGTAGGGTCTCAGGAGCATGTCCTGGGCCCGCCAGTGGGTGGGTAAAGGTGTGAGCCGTGCTCGGTGTCCACAGAGAGGCTCTGGTGGGACCCTCACAGAGGAGAACCCTCGTGCCTAGGTTATTAGGCTCCTCAGCCAACATGGAGCTGGATTTGTGTGCTGGACCCGACGTGACTTTATCGCTATGCCAGGAGGCTTTCTTTTCCCAAATAAAAATTCTGTGGCAAAATTGAAGTATTTTACACACATCATTAGGACTTACTTATGTAAACTAACATTTACTGGGTTTTTTCGTAAGTTTGCCTGACGTTTACAAGTTTCAGGCATAGTTTTAAAAAATCATCTGTTATCAGAGAAAATGTGATTGTAAGTAGCAGGTTTGAAAGCACAGACTGGCAGACAGTGTCACTCCTGGATGGTGTCAGCAGAGGGACTATTTAAGCTGGTACGGTGAGGTTCACCGTGAGCCAGGCTCTGATGCCCGTGGTAGATAGGTGTGGCTTGCTGAATTACCCTGTCCATGCTCTTCAGGTTGACCGGTTACTGGCCAGTGCTGATTTTGGAGCCCCGGACAAGAAAGAAGACTCTGTGCAAGACGATGTCAGGTATATGAGGACCTGATTTTTATTCTCTTTTTTTAAAAATATTTTATTTATTTATTCTTGAGAGACACAGAGAGAGAAAGAGGCAGGGACACAGGCAGAGGGAGAAGCAGGCTCCATGCAGGGATCCCGACGTGGGACTCGATCCCAGGACTCCAGGATCATGCCTTGGGCTAGAGGCGGCGCTAAACCCCTGAGCCACCTGATTTTGATTCTTTGGGCAGATGTACAGATGTGGAGTTGCTGGTTGCTGTGGCGGTGGCATCGTCTTGCACCCTCTGCGGCTGTGTGGGTCCTGCCCTGGGGCCCAGACCTGCAGCAGCCTGTGGCGGGTCCCACGGCCAGCCCTGCAGCGGTTCCTAGCACCTCCACAAGGCAGTTAGGAGGGCCTCCATGGCCCCCGCAGAAGTGCTGGGGCCCATGGCTCCTCAAGGGGGGCAAATGTCTCTCCCCACCCTCTTCATCCGCACTGCAGTTTTCTTGAATGCGTACTATACCCTGTTCTGGCATGAGGGTACTTCCATGAACAGAACAGATGAGCCTTTGGAGCTCGCATTTTGCTGGGAGAGGCCAGTGGGGAGCAAAGGGTGCCACAGGTGACTATAGACACCCTTTCTGGTTGGCGGTTTGGGAGGCGGATGGGTGGGGGTGGTGTTGTGGTTTCCAGTTGGACAGGCTCTGTGTGAGAAAGAGATTGGGGCCTCGAGGGTACTTGTGGAGGGGCTGCATTCCAGTGGGGAGGAGCTCCAGCAGGTGCTCAGACCGGTGCATTAATGTCGTGGGTACAGTTGTGGGGCCATGGTCACCAGCCCGAGGGCTGTGGAGCTGGAGCCCCAGGCAGTGGGGAGCCCAGCCCAGGGGTGTGAGAGCCTCAGAGCTGAGCAGGAAAGGGTTAGAGGCCAGACTTGGGTTTTGGAAGTGTTGTACCAGGTTTGCTCTTCCCTTTGGTTTCCCAGGTAACCCGAGGGCTAGATCTGAAAGGCCCCCGAAATTCTGTTTCACTGGCTGGCCTAGCACATGGCCATGTTTGGGAAAATAGATGGAAACATGAGAAGGGCTATGTCGGGCTGTGCTGCCCCACGTAGCAGTTGTGGGCTGGGGTGGGGTGGGGGTGCTAGTACCAAAGCCCCTTCCCAGTGTTGTCTTCCCAGCTTCCCCTAGACTTGGAGCAGCGCACAGGCACATGGAGGTGGGGCTGGGGAGTGCTGTCCTGCGGCTTCGCTTGAGCTTCACCTGACGCTTTTTCTCCCTCCAGGAGTCCCAGGGCCCTGGACGCTCCTACACAGCAAGTCACTCTGGCCTCCACTACGTGCTCAAGTCTGTGCGGCATTGATCATGAGGCGCTCAACAAACAAATCATGGAGTACAAGAAGCAGAGAGGGCAAGGCTGTAGGACTGTGAGCCCTGAGGTGTCGCAGCTGACAGCTGGTCTGGCATCACAGACAAGAGCAGGAAAGGTGGTGGCTGTGCCCTGCGCAGACGGTGACCTCTCCCCCAGGAACCACCTGTCGGGGGCGGGGAGCACTAAGCCCCACCCTGACCTCAGTGGGGCTTGGGGTGTGGACAGCAGCTCCGAGGAACAGAGCAGGGGGCGGTGAGGGACCAAGGCAGGAAGGGTGGAGGTGACCAAGTGGCGGGGAGGGGGTGAGGTTCCGGCTCTGCCAGCAGAACCACGGGCTCCACATGTACTGCACAGCCTGGCAGCGGGTGGACTCATAGCTCTAGCTTGGGTTAGACGCCTGTGGAAATTCTTTAGGTGGATGGCACCAGTCGGCCCACTTAGAGGCTCATGGGGCACTTGCACACCATCTAGAACATGCACAGCTGCCTGCTGCATTGTTCCCAGTTAGGAAGGCAGAGTGTCGCCATGTTTGCACGTTTCAGCTCATGCCCGAAAAGCCGTCCTCAGGGTCTCCATAAGAACGGCCCTGAGTCTGCTTTTCCCCAGGGCAGGATGGCCGTGGTGTGCCTTGTCGGACGAGTACCGTTGGAAGGAAGTATAATAAATCTTTAAGTCTGACCTCGAGAAATGTCGTTCTGGGCATGGGGCTCCTCCCTTTCCCAAATATCATCAGTGTCAAGATGCTGAAAACAGCATCAGCGGAGTATACGTGATCACACGTGCACCAGTGAGACACAGCAAGGAAGCTTGTGACATGGCCTTTGGGGGAGCACAGCTTCCACATGTGTGAACAGTCAGCTCTGCGGTGCTGGTATGCCCCCCGTGCACCTGCCAGCGTAGCCCCTGTGGAAGGGGCACCTCCAGGATGCGGGAGACTGCCGTAGGAGCTCCAAGCATGTTGTTGTCTGGGGGCACGTGTGTGGTCCTTGCTGACCCGGAGACCTGGAAGGTGCGGGTAACCGGAGTGTTTCTCGAGGAGCACACGTGCTGACCAGAGGAGGAACATCCAGACCAAGGCTGCACGTATCTGAAAATACCTCTGGGTTGGTTCTAATCAGGAATCTAGTGAGGCAGGATGGCAGACCTGGAGAGGACAGTCCTGTGTTCAGTGTCCCTGGGAGGCAGGGCCGCTTGGGGAAGCACCAGGCTTGGTCAGGAGGCAGAGGAACAGGAGAGGGGTGGGTGGGCAAGGCTGATGCTGAGACTTCTGTGGGCTCTGGACTGTAGGAGCATGGGCCCTGGAGACACAGGCAGGGGAGATGCTGACGAGTGGGGTGTGGGCTCTGGTCGGTGGGCTTGCGTATTAATGCAGGGCCATGGTTTGCCATGTTGAAGAGTTAGCCTGGGCAGGGGGGCAGGCCAGCAAGGCCCCCAAGATGGTAAAAACATCGTTAACACAGAACATCCGGAACCCTCTGCACCAAGCAGCCTGCTCAGTGGCTGCCAGGTCTGGGTTTACGCTGCAGAAGGTGCCCAGACCCCAAATGCAGCACAGTGGGCGTGGCTTCTGGGTTGTGAGGCCCAACCACCGTGAGGGCCCGTTGGTGTTCCCTGTGGCCTGAGAAATCTGAGGCAAAGCAGGACACAGAGCCAGAGAGGAGACTGAGAGCCGCTTGTCCCTGGGCTTGTGGCAGAAAATCAGGGTTTCAAGACCAAAGACACAGGGAGAAGGCAAGATGCAGGTTTCTTGTATTTGAAGAGAACCCAGGATGGTCTATGTGCTGACCCAGTGGGGCAGACGCGGCAACCTTGTGCTGCGCGGAAGCGCTTTCCAGCCCTGTGACTGCTCTAGGTTCTTTTTTTTTTTTTAAAGATTTTTTATTTATTTATTCATAGAGATGCAGAGAGAGAGAGAGACCGGCAGAGGAAGAAACAGGCTCCATGCAGAGAGCCTGACATGGGACTCAATCCAGGGTCTCCAGGATCACACCCTGGGCTGCAGGCGGCGCTGAACCACTGCGCCACCGGGGCTGCCCTGCTCTGGGTTCTGTAGGCTGATCTGTCCTCCGCTCAGTGCCATCCAGCTGTCAGAGAAGCGTGTCCACCTCAGGGGGTCCTAGTGTGGCTCTGCTGTGTGGACACCTAGGGAGCCTGGCAGGTGTTCTGTGTCTTCTAACATGTGAGGGGACAAGGGGAACAGTTGAATCGGTGTCTACTGGAGACTGCATTTCTTACCTCCTGAGGATGTGCGAGCTGGACGACCCTCTGCAGCGCAGCCCCTGACGTGGCTGGGGTTTCATGTCCTCCTGAAAGCCATGCCTGTCAGAATCCAGCGTGCCTGCAGTTAAAACCCCTCTGGAATCCTGAGCAGTCACTGAGCGTCCTAGCCTCAGGTTTACCTCGCAGAAGGTGAGCACACACCTGTGTGGCTTTTCAGTGTTGATTTGATCACAGGTTTAGATTTGGACACCTGGATGGGAAGCCGAGGATGAGCAGATTTTGTGCTGAGATGGGAAGCTCAGAACGACAGTGAGGCGCAGACCTTGCAAACGTGCCTGCAGATGGCCCAGCAGTGGCCGCAAGCACAGTAGGCAAGCCTCCAGCGGGCTTCCAGGGCTCCGAAGCCCCCAGGAGGAGGTGGCATAGGCCTCCCGCAGAGGCACCGTGGAGGAGAGCCACACGCCCATGAACTGTTACAGCAGCGGTCAGGCCTGACAACCTTTCCGTTGACTTCTCAGGTTCCCAGGTTCTTGCTGTATTCCTCAGGCCTGCACATGTCTGATTGACGCCTTGTCTTGCTGGGTGTTCACTGGGTGTTGGCTAGTGTGCTTCTTGCTGGGCTGAAACCAACACTCACATGCCCTCCAAAGAGTGGTCGTGTTGAAGGGGAGCTGGGCCTTTGCCACCTGCATTGGGAGGAGCTCTGCTCCGCTGCAGTCGGGGTCAGCTCCAGACTAGCCAGGACCAGCCAACTTGCAATGAGTCCTGCTTTCCTATGTCTCCAGGTAGTTTCCCTTTTAGTCTCCCCAACCCTGCCAGTTCTGTGTGGTTCATGCCTCCCTGCCACTGAGCCTTGGTTTCTGAGACTTTGAATCTGGGTAAGACAAGCGCTGGAGTCTTGCTTTTCCCTCCTAGAACAGGAACCATGCAGATTGGCCTGTGTCCAAGATTCTGGCAAAGCAGGATGTCAGGAGTTCTATTCTGTCTGCAGGGCACAGAGGTCAAATGGAGATCCCACTACATCCCCTTGGGCATGGGTGCGCCAGGCTCCCCGGAACTGGAAGTGTAAAAGCAGCAGCTTCTTCCCTAGCACCTGGCCAGGATGACCACACAGGCAGAGTGTAGTGCACAGCCTGCAGTGTTTGCCTTTCCTTCTCTCTGCGGTGCACAGGGTGCCAGACAGTGTTAGAGAACCGACTTCCTCTGTCCGCTCAGAGCTGAGGTGACACAGTCGTCATAGAGATGCCACTAGATCAGAACCCAAAGTTTGCAGTGACTGAAGGCACAAAACATTGTTGCTAGATCTGGATTAAGCTTCCAAGCATTCTAGAATGCATGTCCCTGTAGCACCATTTTCTGTGTATTTTCAAATTCACTTAGGATAGCACCGCTCAATAGGAACCACGAGGTTAGGCACAGCCTTGTTTAGTAAGCTATTCTGGGAAGAATATGTGTACAAGAAACTCTCAGATGTCCTGTAAATCCTCTTGACTCAGCCCCAAACATAAACTTCCCTTATGTGCTGGCATGGCAGACAGCTTGTACACTGGTTCTGGACGTGCTGGGTGCAGGCTGTAGACATGAGCCAGCACGTCAGAGTGGCCAACAGGATGGTGGCATCCACATTGTGTGGGCTGGACCTTCTGCTGGGATTCTGTTTTGAATTCCTGATGTTGGTCCCTGCTCAGACCCATGGCTTGTAAATTGGCACATGGCTACATTACTGCACCACACATCATTAGAATCAGGAAGGTTTGTGAGGAGTCAGTGGCTGCCATCCCACTCCCATGCTCATCTACTGTGTCTTCAAAGCAGGTTTTACTAGAGTATATTAATCTTGGTCACAAAGCCAAGAATAATTGCATGTATTTTAGTTACCAGGAGAAAAGCAGGGAAGAACCATCCAGAAATGTCATTGAGAAATGACAAGGTCTGTGGCAGATTCTTGTCTGAATTCTATGGATGCAAACCAACAGAGCCTGAAAGTGTGCTACATACAGCCTCAGAGCACTATATTAAAGTATGTGTGTGAATGCCCGTGTGTGCGATTGTGTTTGTACATGTGCAAGTCTAAGTGCACATGTGAAGTGTGTGTGTGTGTGTGTGTGTGTGAGAGAGAGAGAGAGAGAGAGTGCATGTGTGTGTGTGCCTGTTCACAAGCTATTAGGCTATAAGGTCTTTTTTTTTTTTTTTAAAGATTTTATTTATTCACGAGAGACACGGAGAGAGAGGCAGAGACAGGCAGAGGGAGAAGCAGGCTCCATGGAAGGGAGCCAGATGTGGGACTCGATCCCGGGTCTCCCAAGATCATGCCCTGGGCTGAAGGTGGCACTAAACTGAGCCACCCGGGCTGTTCAACTATTGGGTCTTTTTAAAAAATATTAGAGGGATGTCTGGGTGGTTTAGCGGTTGAGCACCTGCCTTTAGCCCAGGGTGTGATCCGGGGTCCTGGGATCTAGGCCCGCATCAGACTTCCCACAGGGAGCCTGCTTATCTTTCTGCCTGTGTCTCTGCCTCTCTATCTGTGTCTCTCATGAATAAATAAAATAAAAAAAAATTTTAGAGCACCCACGAGCAGTGGGGAGGGGTAGAGGGAGAGGGAGAAGCAAGCTCTCTGCTGAGCAGGGAGCCTGATATGGGGCTGTATCCCAGAACCCTGGGATCATGTCGTGAGCCAAAGAAAGACACCTAACTAACCGAGCCACTCGGGGTTCCCCAGGCTATGATGTCTTAAGGCACAACATTCATAACCAGGCCATCTGGGCATTGCCACTGACCCTTTTGTTGTTTTGGTTCCATTTTGAGAAGTCTCAACCATCAGGGTTAGGGAGGAGGCAGGATTTGAAGATCAGGCCCAATATAGTTTCAAAGCTGTGCTTTTTTGGGTAGAAACACAATGGAGACTTCTGACCCTTTTCTGTAATGAAATAATGTTGAAAATGTTCTGATGCACAGCAATGTCTAGACACCACCCCCACCCCGGAATCTGTGGTAACAGTTGGGTCTGGAGTCTACCCTTGCCCCTCCTCTTACAGGGGCCCTGGTCTTTGTGCCTATGTGATAAAATGGAGGGCATGAGGGTGTCAGAATCGAGAGAGGGCTTGGGGGAGAAATTTTTCTGACCCTTGGCATAGAGACTGCCTGCAAAAAGGAGAAAAAAACAATTACCTCTGGGAAAGAGGAGAATCTGATTTCCAGAGTTACCATATGGTTAGATTCAAAAGTCCAGTTTGCAACAAAAAAGTCATAAGGCACACAAAAACAGGAAGGTGTGGCCCATTTAAAGGAAAAAAAAGATACCATCCCTGAGAAAGACCTGATGGCAGTTCTACTAGACAAAGACTTTAAAGCAACTGTCTTGCTCCTCAACTAATGAAAGAAGTGGAGCAAATCAACAAAACAACCTTTGAACAAAATGGAACTATCACAAAGAGAAAGCAAAAAGAAACTGAAGAGAT